TCTATGTGATTCCTATCCTTTCAAATGCACTGATGCTTGCTTTACGGCCTAGCATGTGGTCGACACTGGAGGATGCTACGTGTGCCCTTGAGGAGAATGGGGTCCCACTAGGATGGGTCTCCGCAGAGGTCTCCCAGGCCCAGTGGTGTCTAGGTGCTCGGTTTTCTTCCTGCTCCTTTGTTGATCTTCTGTCTACTTTTCCTACACATTATTGAAAGGAGTATGTCACTACGTTCTAAAAAGACATTTTTTTAAAAAGCTTAATGAGTCTGGGAAATGCTTAGATATTAAAACAAAAAGCAGTACTAAAATATGCAGGCATAATATAACTGCTGTAATGTAAAAGGTACATTGGAAAAAAGACCAGAAGGAAATTAGGAAAATGTCCCAATGACAGCTCCTGAGACAAGGAGCTATACTGTTAATGAGTTTTCCAATTTTTTAATTTTTAGCATAAGTCCATCACTTTGATCATCACCAAGATGTTTTTAAACAGAAAATCTGACTACATACAAGTTATGGGCTATGAAAGCACCGTGCACCTGACTGTCTGTCACTTCACGGGGCTGCAAAACCAGGAGCCCCCACCCTCTGGTTCTGAGCCACTGGCATTTCCAGGGCCCTCTGCTCTCCACTCCCCCACAGGGAACGGAACGGCCACAGGAAACCTCCTGAACGCAGGTGCTCTCATTTCTACCTTTAAAATGTTTCTGAGATGAGCTGTGAACCACAAAAGTATGTTAGGTGTGAGGAATACTGCAGGAAGCCAGTGAAAGTTGCATTTAGCAGCAGCCTCGGTTCATATGACACACGGGAAAAAAAGTGCAATGAGGGAAGACATGATGCAAACAAAGAAAGTTTAAACAAACATCTCGAGGACTGTAACTTATCAATAAGAAACAGCGTCGGCTCTCCCTCACTGTCACTCAAAGCCCAATTCAAACTGACAGTGGCCAAGGCGGGAGAAAGATGGCGGCACAGGCGCTCAGCTGACAGCAAGCCCCACCCCGCAGCTTCTCCTCCGAGTCCCAGCCAGCTGTGGGCATTTACTCCCCTGCTGACCCCACGCGAAATCCACTTCCAGTGCACTCCGGTATCCAGGAAATGCATGCTAAAGCGTCTTCTCTGGGCAAAAGTAACCTGCTTGAAAACAACCTGTACTTTTGAGATGCTGACTTATAAACAGTAACACAAAAATAAAGAATCAATGCTTTCAAACTGTGGTCCTGGAGAAGACTCTTGAGAGTCCCTTGGACTGCGAGGAGATAGGACCAGTCAATCCTAGAGGAAATCAACCCTGACTATTCATTGGAATGACTGATGCCGAAGCTGAAGTTCCAACACTTTGGCCACCGGACGTGAAGAGCCAACTCACTGGAAAAGACCCTGACTCTGGGAAAGACTGAAGGCAGGAGGAGAAGTGGGTAGCAGTGGATGGGATGGTTAGACAAGCATCACTGACTCAAAGGACATGAACCTGAGCAAACTCCAGGAGACAGTGAAGGAGAGGGAAGCCTGTGTGCCATAGTCCATGGGGCCAAAAAGAGCTGGACATGACTTAGTGACTGAACAACAACAATAAAAAAGTATCCATAGTGTTCATGAGTAAACACATGGATCATTTCAGTCACTCCTCATATTAGCTTTCAAGAGTGATTTGTTTTACCAGAAAATGACATATCAAATCAATCAGGGCTTACACACGCTGGTAATAAGAATCAACTGTAAAATGCTCCTCCCACGTGCCCACCCACACCCAGGCACCCTGAGGAGCTGGTCCACAGTGTCCGGTCAGGGCAGCTTCTAAATTTAAGCAGCACGCAGGATAAAGGCGTGGGGTTGGGGGAGTGCTGCTTCATGTTTTGCTCTGCTGAAACTACTTAGTTCAACTGAAATATACCTTTCTACTTAAATTGTGGGATTCAAGGTGACGGAATAATGGTTCTTAATCTTAAATCGGATTTAACACTGCTAAAAGGAACATGACAGCCCCTGTTTGAAAAATACTTAAAAACCGCACCTTTTCGCCTGGGGGGGAAAGAACTTAAAACTCCAACAACAGTAGAAGGGTTTCATGAATTATGCTACATTATCTCAACAGAATATTATGTGCAGGAGGTGGAAACGATCTTTACCAAGATGTCTTAATAATACAGGAACAAGCTAATGTTCTAAGGTTAAACGGGAGAAGGCGTGAAACAGAAATTTATATGTAACATGCTCTGAACTCCATAAATACACCACACAGCGAAAAGACTCAGAGGAGCTCCCTGCAAACAGCTGTCCCCCACCAGGCACTGCTGCGGGCCTGCGCCCCGTCCGCAGGCCGGCCTGGTGGGGATGCAGAGATACAGACACTTCCGAGGGGTGACAGGAGAGCAGTGTCTGGGTCCCCCATGCAGAGGACAGAGCAAAACGCGGCTGGCTAAGGCCATAGAGGCCTCCTTGCTCCCAGCCAAACCCAGACTTCAGGAACCCTGGGCTCAACGGAGCCCAAAGAGGAAAAAACTGCTCCCAGCCCTGCCTCCCAGCCCGCAGCCCTGAGAAGCAGCCGGCCCCCTGCACAGAGCCCGCCTCCACTGTCTTCTCCCAGCATGTGACGCCCTCCTGGAGCAACACTCCACGTGGGCTTCTCCCACTGGCTTCACTGCCGCCTGCATGGCCGTCTTCTTCTCCAGCCTCTGCGTCTGAACCACCCACACACCCACAGCCACCACCGAGGTCCCCAGAGCTCTCCTGACTCCCGTCCTCAGCCACCCCTCAGGGGTGACAGGCACAACCGTGACCAGGGTCTCCATCCCAAGGTTTAGTTCAGTTCAGTCGCTCAGTCGTGTCCAACTCTTTGCAACCCCATGCACTGCAGCACCCCAGGCCTCCCTGTCCATCACCAACTCCTGGAGTTTACTCAAACTCATGTCCATTGAGTCAGTGATGCCATCCAACCATCTCATCCTCTGTCGTCCCCTTCTCCTCCTGCCTTCAATCTTGCCCAGCATCAGGGTATTTTCTAGTCAGTCAGTTCTTCCCATCAGGTGGCCAAAGTACTGGAGTTTCAGTATCAGCATCAGTTCTTCCAGGGGATATTCAGGACTGATTTCCTTTAGGACAGACTGGTTGGATCTCCTTGCAGTCCAAGGGACTCTCAAGAGTCCAACATGAGAGTTCAAAAGCATCAGTTCTACAGGGCCCAGCTTTCTTTATGGTTCAACTCTCACATCCATACATGACTACTAGAAAAACCATAGCTTTGATTAGACAGACCTTTGCTGGCAAAGTAATGTCTCTGCTTTTTAATATGCTGTCTAGTTTGGTCATCAGTTTTCTTCCAAGGAGCTGAGTGCTTGGAGAGGCGGTGGCTGGCGCCGCTGCCCGCGTGTGTGTCTGTGTGCCAAACTCCGGTGAGGGCAGTGTCCTTCGACAGCGGGACAGCAGGGTGAGGAGCCCCGGAATAGACCTGGACTGCCGGCAGCCCCAGGGGGCCTGTGTGCGCCCGTGTGTGTGCGCGCATGTATGTGTGCGCGCACATGTGTCTGCACACCACTGTGTGTGCTGGGGATTGTGGGAAGACATGGAGAGTCTCTGAGTTTAACTGAAGGCAACACTTGAACAAGAATTCTCTTCTCTCCAGCTTTTCTCTCTTCTGGACAATTAACATCGCGGGCATGTCCCTTCATCCCAGCCTGCTGATGATTCAGACAAACGCACCAAGGATCGCTTGGGTCTTACAACCTAAGTTGGTGCTAGACTCGTTAGGACAAACTTATTTACCACATTAATTAAATGGTCTATTTAACATGGAATATCAATTCTCTAATCACATCTCACTTGAACTTCTTTCAATTAACAGCTCTGAAGCCTACTGACAGAGGTCCTACTGTTCTAGGATCATTAAGAACACTTTCATTATCTGTCAAATGAGGGAGCAAGAAGCAGAGAGGCAGGCAGGCTCCGGAGCGGCTTCTCCCCGCTGATCAGATGATGGGGGAGCAGCCCAGGATCACTGGTTGCTTAGCAACGAAGAGGCTCCCATGTGACTCCAAGCGATGGGAGAGGGGCGGCCACACAAGGGACCACAAAATGGATGAGAAGCGGGCACCATCAGGGGACCATCTGGTCTCAAGTCAACCTCAGTCTTCAGATTACAAGAACATCAGAATCTGAAGTGGACCTAAAACTGAGAAGGCCAAAACACAACCTAAAAACAACAGACATCTGGCAGGAAGGTTCAGTGAAGACAAAGTAACAAAGTAATACCAGTTTTAAATAAAAACGCTACCACTCAAGAGTAAACGCCTCCTGTGGGGTTTCATTTCTGTTCACAGATGCATTAAAAAGTAGATCTCACACACATATCATCAGGACTGTTTTTAAACTTGAAACACAAACCAGGCAAAGTTATGTTACAGTTGGTTGTTTGTTGCAACATACACGGAAGAAAAAATATGCAGTACTCAGAGACAGTATAACCCAACCTAAATGCCCATTAAACCAATTATTTTGCATGTAATTAATATTCCCATAAAATTAAATGCTACTAGTATATCAAAAGCAAAACGGTGATGAAATGCTGCAGAAATGCAATTAAAGAGGATTCGGTTTTTAGCTTGTAAGCAAAACATTCAACTAATAGTCTATCACCTTAACCTCATCCATTTAAATTGAAATCATTAAAGCCAGGGCTCTGTGGCCATTAACACAAAACCACACTCCTCGAATACATTACATTTCTCCTCATTTATTATTTAAAAGAAGATATTAATAATAATAAACATCTTAATGTCTTCAGTAGTTGAGCATGTGGATTTAAGGACTTTTTCAAAGCGGGCGTCAATGACAAAACTATTATTCTCCAATATTATTAATGGCTATCATTAATAACATTAAAATTAACAGCAATTTTCAGCACGGGTGTAATTATGCAGAGCAACATGGTAAGGCCACTGAAGTCCACAGAAGTTTAATGTCTGTGAGAAGAAGCATCATGCATGCTGTGATCTTACCTATGTACTCGCAGATGAAGACTACAAAGAAGGGAGTGACAAGGTCATTTATCCCCTGAACATATCCGCTGGCAGGATGACGGATGGCCCATATGAACAGTATCCTTTCAAAAATCTGAAAGAAAAGTGAACAGCTGGTGGAGCAGAAAGCAAACACAGCAGAAACTTCTTAAACATGTGCATCCTTAAAATACATGTTACCGATACTTCTCAGTCTGTAATATAAAACATAATTTTTTTTTAATTCCAGTTATCTTGATTTTTTTAACAGACTCACAAGCAGCATGGAAGAAGGTCCCCGAGCCCTGGGCTCAGTCCCAGCACACAAGATGGCTCCTACAAGAGACACTCACTCTCTGCCCTCCCAGCCCCGCGGGTAGCCACTGCGTGTGGCCGCCCTGGTCTCGGCCAGTAGGCGCGGCGGCAGCTGGCCTGGCAGTGCAGGAAGACGGGTAGAGAGACAGAGGGATGGACGGGTGGGCAGAGGGAAGGTCGGTGGGTGGCTGCTCACAGAGACGGACACGAAGGGACAGAGCGACACATGGGAGGGAGTGGATGGCGGATGCTCTAAACTTCCCTCGTGGGATGCTTTTTCATTGCGGTACAACTGACATGTCACAGCATATTTGCCTCAGCTGCACGGCACAATGACTGAACGTCTGTAAATCCTATATTCCTTATGATCAGCACAATAACTGTGGTTCACACCATCACCACACACAGCCGTAGGATTTTTTTTCTCGTGACGAGGACTTCTAAGATTTATTTTCTTAACAACCTTCAGAGATATAAATACCATCCACTGTGGTCGCCAGGCTGTACACGACAGCCCTGCCATTTGTTTATTCCATTTTGACCCCCTTCACCCATTTCACCCCCCAAGCTCCACCTCTGGCAAACACCGATTTCTTCTTTGTGTCTCTGAACTTGGTCGATTTTCTAATAGATTTTTTCTTCAGATTATTTCCCATTACAGTTTATTACAAGAGGCTGAACATAGCTGACTGCTCACCTATCTGATGAGCAGGAGTCTGTACCTCTAAGCCCCACACTCCTCACGTATCCCTCCCCTTAACGCTCCCCTCCAGCCCCCGTAGGTCTGTGTCCTATGTCTGTGTTTCCTTTTTATGCATAGATTCATCTCTGTCACTTCTTAGATCCCACACACAATGATACAGCAGACACTTCCTTAAACTGCTGGAGACCCCTGGCCCTTGGAGGCAGGCATCAGGCCCGCGTCAGCCAGGCTCTCCCCGCCGTCCGAGGACCCGATGCCCAGGCGCTGTCTCAGCTCCTGTCTCCTCGCCACTCACACCCAGTCCATCCTACCTCCCCTCCTCACGCCCCCCCCACCTTCACTCAGGAGGGGTCTCACCAGGGACACCACCACATCGTCACCCATGCACACGCACACACGCACACACACATGCGGCTTCAAGACCCCCCATGCTCCACGCCCCCCACACTGCGCCCTGGCAGCCCTGGGTCTGACCCCCTGCCGCCAGCTCCCAAATCCCAGCTGCACTGGGCCCACCAGGCTGCCACCTCCTCCATGCTGGCCCCCCGCCAGCTCAAGCCGCACCCCTGGTGGCTGGGCCGCCATCTGCCCCCTCCCCACCTGCTGGGGAGGGCCGACCGCTTCCTGCTCGTGAGCCCCCCGGCCAGCAGTGTCCCTGGGCCTTCCCATCCCGGGTCCCTCTGGATCGACGACACCTGCGGGCGCCTCCTGGACGCTGGACCACCGTCCACATCCTGCTTCTCCCTCGAGCGGTGATGCTCCAGACCTGCAAGGCCCTCCAGCCAGGACCTCAAGGCCCCCCCGAGTCCGTGGGGAGACGGACTGGGGGCGAGGATCAGCTCCAGGGGCGCCTGGTGGACGGGGACCAGGGAGCAGGCGACGGGCTGTGATGCGGATGACGAGCCACTCAGACGGCAGGAGGAGAGAGGAGCCCCGGAGCCAGCAGAGGCAGACACAGTCAAGGGGCAGCCGGGCGGCCCCGGGCAAGCACGTGGCTGAGGACCGGGGCCCGCGGCCTTGGCAGGACAGCCTGGGCCCCGCGCGGGGACCTTCTGTCCCTCCCTGCACAGGCCTTCCTCCTTCCCGGCCACCAGCTGAGCAGCGGTGTGGACAGAGCCCGCCGAGGAGCCCGGCAGAGCCTGCAGGTCTGCCCCCAGCACCGGCGTGCCTAGCGGAGGGGACGGGTGTGCGCGTCCTCCTCGGGGCCCTGTCTCCAGGCCCGCCTGCCCCGACGGCACACGGGCCCCGGCCGCTGCCCGGAGCCCTCGCCAGCGTCCACGCCAGGAACCAACACCCCCAGCGGCTCCGGCGCTCGCGTGCCCTTAACCTGACACCTGTCCATGCAGCACCCCTACCTCCCCGGGTAATCAGAGCCGGGAGGTCACACCCACAGCCTGGCATGTCTTGCATATTATTTCCCTATAACAATAGCTATTAATTTAGAGAATAAGACTCCCATGATTTATACATCTCTGGGTGGGAGAGAGAGACGGAAAGGAAAGGTGAACCTCTTGCTTTAATGCCCTTCAGTCTCTCTCTTGGCAGTAACTGTCCTGCATGCTGGGGACAGCCGGGGTCCATGGTGGGATCCACCCCAACCAAGCCACCCGCGCTTCCAGGCCCCCCAGTGCCCTGGTCCCCGAACCCTCCCCAGCCCCACTGTGGGACCACCCACTGCCCAGAACACGAAGCGGCATCTGGCTGAGGGCAGACAGAAGCTGATGGATGGATCAGCCTCGTCTGGACTCCCGGGGAAACTACACTGACTGTAATGACATAGGTAAGGTGTCCACAGACAGCACGCCTGGTGACAGCGGGGAGCACAAATCCAGAAAGACAGAGGGGAACCCCGAGTCCTGACCTGCCTGCAGCTGAGGGAGCTGAAGGGAGAGTGCCGGCTGGGGTGGGGCCTACAGGATCCACAGAGCAGCGAGAGCCCAGCCCCCCACTCCGAGGGGCATCTCACAGTCAGCTGGGCGTCCCAGGTCCAAGGGACAGTGGCTCTTGGGGGCAGCTCTGGGGCCAAGGTGCCCCAGAGCCGGGGGCCGGCCAGCCCGGGGTGTGGGGCCAGCTTCCCACGAGGTGCCTAAAGGCCCAGGCCAGAAAGGAGAGGTGTCGCAGAGTGGGAACCAGGTGGCCTCAGCCGCTCGGTGTCCCCTGCACACTCCGGCGTCCCACCAACGGCCCTGCCCCCGGTCACGCGCCCTGAGTCCACCTGTAACGGGAACAGAGCCAGTGCCTCACAGGCTGATTCTCCGCTGGTGTCTGGGCCCAGGTTCACACATGCTGCCGATGGAGCCCAGCAGGGTTATCGCGTGCCCAGCAGGCAGCCACGGGCATTTCTGCAGGGGCCACAGTCCCCACGACTCCACGTGTCACAATCCAGGTATTTTACTAACAGCTGTTACAGGGTGAAGGGTGAAGCGTGAAGACAGTGCACTTGACTTGCACAAGGCCGTCAGCAGACGCAGGGCAGTTTAGGGAAGAACAGACACGGAAGGGCTGTCAGAGACAGGAGCTCGCGTTTAAGCAGATGCACTGCGGGTGTGAACAGTGGCGTTTATCTGCCAGTGAAGGAAGCGTGCCCTCTGTGTGTGGACGTGTTTAATGAGAACGGGGAACCATCTGAGATGGCCCTAGCGATGAATATTCACTGGATGGTATTTGCTATTAAAGTTCTGTTGACATTCCTGAGGTCTATCTTTGTCAGAGAGGAGGAATTCATTAAACAGCTCAGACTTCAACCTCTTCCCCAAGTACCTTCTCCACAGACCAATCGACCCTTGTCAACAAAAATGAAAACACTTGCTACAATTACCATCAGCACTGTTGGGACTGCTGGTGCTATCACCATCAGCACCACTTGCCACTGAAACAGTGAAAAGGCAACGGGCATCTCCAGTCTGCTTGCCCAGTCTCTGGAACCTGAGCACCATGCCAGGCTTCCCCTAAAATCCAGCGTTCTCCCACAGAGGGCCCCTCGGGCACCTCCTTCTGGCCTCACTCTGCAAGCACATCGCCACCTCCACACGCCTCCAAGGCAGGACCAGGCTGCTGGCAACACCATGCGCTTGGAGAGCTGAGAGGTTCTGCGCTCTAAAAAATTTAACATATTGAAATTGAAAATGTCGCTGTGCTCATGATTACTTGGGAAAAAAAAAATCTGATTTCGGAAATGCGAAAGCATCATAATTCAACCATATGCATCGGCAACATGACTTCCCAACATATCAAGCACTGTGGAGATAATTTCTGTGAGAAGAACAACAAAATATATGATTGTGTTGAGAAGACCTGTGGGATTTATATCTCCCGAAATCCAGGAGCCATGTGGGCTCAGAAAGAGGAGATATTTATAACACAAGTGCTCGCACCACGAGTGAGGGGATGCTCCCCCCGTACGAATTACAACATCTGATGAACGAGACAAAAGTAAGAGTCCCTAACAAATCTAAAACGCAGATTAATCGGCAGCCATCCATCACATAAAATATACACTGAACGCAGGTTTACAAGGCAGTTAATAATAGCGCGCTCGGAAGCAGGCTGCCACGCCACGCTGGGTGGTGAATTACTCCACCTTCGCCTCCTTGAGATGTGAGGATTTACACCCCACATTTTGTGCTCAAGTCACTTGTCTTGACGGGCTGGCAAAGCACATACGCTGCATCAGGCTCAGAACCGAAGTACAGAAAAGAGACACCACCTTCAGACAACACATCACGGTGTCACCAGCATCAGACGGAATGTTCAGGGCGGCAGATACAGCTCCGTATCAAAGCACAGCCGAGGAGTCAGACACGGTCAGAGAGCGTCTCTCCGTTTAGAGAGCGGCCGGCCTTCCCCTTCCGGCGGTTCGGCACGTGAGATGTTAACACTCTTAATCCTGTGAGGCAGTGAAAAATCCGTCCTGGCCAATTAGGATTTGCTTTCAGGAACGCAGTCTCCTTGGTACTAGGAAGTCGCCTAATAAAATTCACCGTATCAACAGAATAAAGGAGCAAAGACTTATTCTCACATCAGACGAAAAGTGGGAAAGGAGGTGATAAAACCTCAGCAGCCACTGAGGACTTTAAAACCCTGAGTAAAGCAAGGCT